GCAAGTTTATTACCTCCCATGGGCGTGCCAAAAAGACGAGAACTTGCGGGGTGGAGCCTTGTGCATTTGGTGTCGCCGCCGGGCAAAGCGCCTCTCCCAAAAACGCAACGATTACAACTTTGACCCAAGCACCGATGAGTTCTATCAACCTGAGGGGCTAGAAGGTACCTTGGAGATCGACATTGGTTCGCTCATGGGCATGGAAGTAGACAACGAAATCGATGAGGACGAGGGTGAGGAGGTGCAGGATGCCAGGGACTTAAGAATGCTTGAGCGATGGCAGATGCAGCGCGATGGAGTTGTCCAGGAGGAGGTACATGATGATGACTATGGAGACGATGAGGATGATGATGACAGTGATGACTTAAGGGAGCTCGACAATATTGATAGCGATGACGACGATAGTGATAGAGATGACGACTCCACGCCCGAGATATTGCCGTTCGCGGAGATAATTACGAGGCCATGTAATACTATATTGTTATTATTATGTTCCTTTACAAGTACTTGTCATTTATTTATGCTAACAGTTTTGTTCTTTGTCATTGCAGGCACTCGGCAAAATGTCAGCGGACGGCGGCAGCGGCCGCATCGAGCAGTACGCTCGGCGTACCAGGTTCCCCCGCAGGAGACCGCCGCCGACGACGAGGAGGAGGAGGAGGTGTTGGTGCAGCGCTGGTCGTCGAAAGAGGGGGTCCCGGGCCCCAGCCCGGACATCGCCAAAGCGACCAGAGGTCGTTCTCGTCCTCGCAGGGGGACGACGTCGCGTGGACGACGAAGGCCGGGCGGCAAGCGCGACGACGACGACGACGACGACGGCGACGACGCGCCTACACCAGGCGAGACGGCTTTGACTTCGTCAGGCGTGGCCAAGGTGTACTCACGCGGGCCCACGCAGCTTCCTAGGGTGCGGCCGCAATTCCACCAGCGCCCGGTGATCACACCCGTGGGCCAGACGTAAGTAACCATTATTGATTTCACTACTTGTTCATATGACATGTCAAAAATCGAACTGAAGACTAACAATTATTCTTAATGACTCGTGCACTTTTTGGAAGATTGTGAGTGGAGCAGGTCAAGCACGCCATATCAATGGCATCCAGGGCCTCCTGATTAAGGAGTACTACCCTGGCCTTGTCAACGTCAACGGCGAGATGAAGGTGCCCACCAAGTGGTCCCACTTCTACCTCGTCGAGGAGGGTGGCGAGACCATCGCGGCAAAGATAAAGAGGGAGTTTTGGGTGAGTCTTTCATCGCACCGCATTGCTAAATAGTACGCATTCGTCGGACTTCTTGCAAAAAGGAAATGCTACATGATGTGTCTGTGTGCAGGACTTCTTCACGTGCGAGGAGGGTAAAGCGGCCCAGGCGGCGCGAGTGCAGGAGGCGGTCTGCAAAGATCGTCTCAAGGACCTGTACCATGAGGCGCGCATACAGGCCATCCGCGACTTCCACGCTAACGTGCTTGGAGAGAACATCAAGAAGCCCCAAATCCGCCAGAGAATGAACTCGAGGGAGGCCGACCTCACCCAAGCGCAATACGAGCAGGTAATTAAGTATGACAACATTCGTTCAGATTCCTTCAGTGAAACATTACACTAATCTTCTCGCATGTCAAATACTTGATGTCATGCAGGTGTGTCCGTCGTGGTGCGACAACCACAGGGAATGCTGGACGGAGATTGTGCGCATGTGGCGCACGGATGAGGCGTACGCGAGGCGCGCCGACCGTCAGGGCCGCCGCGCGCAGATGCGAGGGGTGTCACACCACCAAGGGAATCAGCCCCTCCCCCAGTTCGCGACAAGATGGGTATGCGTCCGTTCATGTCTTAATCCTTGCGCTCAATTGTCAATACTTGTAACCATGTTTGTGTTTTCAATGCAGACGCAGACGCACGGTGGGCAGGAAATCAACGAGTACACCGCGTACCTCCTCTCTCACAAGGGCAAGGCGACGGATCCGAACAACGTCTACAACCCGGAGGACGGGCCCGATGCGTACACCAACCCCACCGCCTACGAGAAGGCCACCGAGTACACCGTCGCGGCTCGCCAGCGCTACGGGGAGACGTTCGACCCCACCGCCGAGCCCCTGGACACAGACCTCCTGCAGAGGTTGGGACCAGGGAAGCAGCACGGCCGCTACTACATGGCCCACAGCGCCCTCGACCCGTCCCAGGTTCCTACGCTGACCCAGGTTCGATCCACGCCCACGAGCTCCAGCGACATCCCCGTAGCGCCCCGGCGGCAGTCAGCGTCACAGGTAAGTGCCGTTTCGTTCGTCGTTCACTCGTTTCGCACCTGTACATACAATCAACACTGCGGATGTAATATTGCAGGCCCAGATGGAGGCCAAGATGGAGGAGAGGATCGCCACGTTGCACGCGCAGATGATGGCGCAACAGATGGCTTACCAGCAAAGCCTGCAGCAGCACTACAACACTCAGATGCAGAACATGGCCAGCTTCTTCCAGTCCATGCAGACGCCCGGGGCGTCTACACCGCCTCCTCTTCCAATGTTCGCTCCACCGCCTCCTCCTCCAGAGTTTTTTCCTGTGCCTGCTCCTGTCGCTCCTGGAGGGACCCCGGTGAGTATATTGACTCTTGCTTTAACTTGTGCGTCCATCTTTGCGAGATACTAATGACATCACTTGGCGTTTAACTTGTGCAGTAATACGATGGTGGGTTCGAACCCGTCTCTGGAGGTCCGGCCATCGAGATGATGTCGTATCCACCACGCACCCTATCCACCGTATCCACCTCCGCGTGGCCCTCCTCCGACGTATTTCGTGGCCGCCGGTGCTTGCGGAGGGTGGCAAGATGCTGTAGCGCCTCGATTTGGTCAAGGGGTTTCCGTGGGCAAACCCAGGGGCTCTGGGCGGAGCGGACGACGAGACCGGGACGGCGCTGACGAGCTAGGTACTTGTCGATTCTGTTATCATGTATCCACCGTATCATCGAAGTTGTTGTCATGTATTTCTTTTCTTCGTTATGGACCTAGACTTGTTATGTTGAACTTCGTGTGATGGACGTCGACTTGTGGTGTTCGACGTGTTGGACTTCATGTGATGGTTGTAATGCACTTGTGTGGTTGTTATTGTGACATATATGTGATGTTGTGCGTTATTGTGATATATGTGGTGATGTTGGCGACAAATGTGATGAAATTGTGATATAAATGGTGCTACGGTGTGCTTACGGTGAAATTGGATTATAATTTGTGATTTTGCGGGTTTTGATGCGAGAAAATAGAAAACAAAAGCAAAAAAAAAATTCCGGCTTTGCCGATTGTTTCTGATCGCAAAAGTCAAAAAAACCTCAGGAAGAATCTTTGCCGATTGCAACTCGAAAGCGATCGGCAAAAAGAAAAAAATTCCAGCTTTGCCGATTGTTTATAGTCGGCAAAAAGTCGGGCAAAAACCCAGGAAGAATCTTTGCCGATTGCAACTCGAAAGCGATCGGCAAAGAACATTTCAAAAAAAAATCTTTCTTTGCCGATCGCCGAAATGGCGGCGATCGGCAAACAATTTTGAAAAAATAATTCTTTGCCGACTACCGAGGAACCAGCGATCGGCAAGCTTCCGCCGTCGGTCGACGGCGCCATGCGTGGCTATGCCGATTCTTTGGCGTGGCGGATTGGCAAAGGATTTGTTGATTGTGTGCCACGTGGCGGTCGGCAAATCCGCCTTTGCCGACCCAGGCTTTGCCGATTGCTCTTTTGCCGATCGCCCTTGCGTTAACTGCGGTCGGCAAAGCCTTTGCCGACTGGGTTTATGCCTTTGCCGACCGGGGCAAGCAGTCGGCAAAGAGGCGTTTTCCTGTAGTGTAGGAACGTAGCAATTTCACAGAAGTCATGCATTATAAAATTCAGTTTAAATAACATAAGGGCGAGGTGCCCGGCCGTCCAAAGTCCTCCAAGCCAAAGCATAATCACGAGTTGTCCAAGAAGAGGACAAGAAGCACAAGAGTGGCAAGCTCGTCGTGCCGAGCGCTCTCAACACCTGAGTAGTTCAGCTTGAGCTATTAGTTAGTTTTTTTGCTGGTGCGTTTTGATCCATTAATTAGAACTAATTTTATGTAACTACTCACTTCTTGTTGGAATACAGTGTATCCTAGAGATTTCAAGGCACAATACGAGAGAATACAAAGACTCGTGTACCCTCACTTCGTTTACTAATCAATTTGATCCTCGCATATATAGACGTTGCCATCAATGTATTTAAAGAGAAATAAACTGCTTGATAGTTGTGAAGTAATACTGTAATAGTATGGTACCTATCTAATTTGTGCACCTATATATCTAGTGCAAAATGGTCCTTTTGCCTTTAAATTCTCTTGCATTTGGGTATGATTTTTAGTGCTTGCATCTAATCGGGCAATGATTCTTATTCATTGGATCTAAATCAGATGACTTTGAAGCTTCTTCTTCCTTTATTTGTTTCCTTCAGCGGTCAGGTGCATTTAGTTTTGCGTTTTCAGGCGCCTGCACTATAGGAAGCGTGCAAATGTAATACTCTACCGTGTTTCACCTCTCTCATCTGTCCCCATTATTGATGATCAATTGAGCCATATATTCTACAACCCTTCAACTAAGCCATTCTTTTGCATATATATATAGCGGCGTGGTACCCTGTTCTGGAGTATCAGACAAGCTAGCGTCTCATCCCTCTTACGCGCAGCAGCAGGTCTCACGCATTACGTACGTACGTAAGCACAAGCAGCTAGCAACATGTTGATCTAGCTATCCCATTATTTGCACACACATCTAGTCTAGTGGCAAGTTAATTTATCGAGGCATGCACTAACCTCCTCATGCTGCATGCATGCTTGCAGGCTCCATGTCTTCGCCTGGATCCAACGGAGGAGCGGCTCGCGAGGACGATCCCACCGGCCTCGGCGAGCCGCTGCTCACGAACGACGATGCCGGCGGGTTCCACACCGAAACGCTAGCCACAGTGGTCGTGGCCGCCACCACTGCACCCAACGGCAATGCCAAAGTGATGAAGGGTTCCATGAAGGCGGAGGCGAAGGACGACGACAGGTACTGGGTGGATGTCCACCGAGAGCCGAACGCAGTAACAACGGCGGCGGACCTGGAAAGCGGGGGCGACGGTGGCCGGCCGCTCATGTTCCGAGAAAAGAAGGTCAAGCCAGCCCTCCTGTACCTCTACAGGTGATATGAATTTCATTAACAAATGTGCGTCCAACACCTTAATAAAAATTGGACTTCTGTATTGGGACTTGTATCATGCCATGCTGTGGATTTGGCCTCCGTCTGCACCTCTAACACACTAATGACTTCTGTTTAAAAAGTTCACTTAATAAACAAGGCTTATACCGCTCATAACTTGACTGAATATGGATGTGTAATTCCTTTGACGCTCGACATTTTAGTGATATTTTCCTTTGTGCTAACACAGGTCACTAATCCTGACACGCCTCATCGCCGTCATCTTATTCATCGGATGGCGCATCAAGCACAATAACTCTGACGTCATGTGGTTCTGGACGACCTCTGTCGTTGCCGACGTCTAGTTCACCTTCTCGTGGCTGCTCTACCAGATGCCGAAGTTCAATCCCATCAAAAGGTCCCCCGACCTGGATGCTCTACGGCAGTACTGCGACCTCCCTGATGGCGGCTCCATCCTCCCGGCCATCGACGTCTTCGTCACCACCGCTGACCCCATCGATGAACCGGTGTTGTACACTATGAATTATGTCCTCTCCATCCTCGCCGTTGACTACCCCATTGATAGGTACGCGCGCTACCTATCTGATGATAGTGGCACATTGATCGAATATGATGCTTTGGTTGAGACGGCAAACTTTGCCGCTTTGTGGGCGCCCTTCTGCCGGAAGCACTCCATTGAGCCGAGAGCTCCAGAAAGCTATTTCCAGCGGGAGGGGATGATCTACACCGGCAAATCACCGAGTGAGTTCATTAACGACTATAGGCATGTGCAACTGGAGTATCAACAGTATAAGGCAAGGTTGGAAATGCTCACTAGCACTATTAGAGAGAGATCGGACTTCTACAACAGTATCAAAACAACAGAAGGGGCTGTAAAGGCGACTTGGATGGCGAATGGGACACAGTGGCCAGGAACATGGTTTGAGCCAATAGACAACCATAGGAAAGGACATCATGAAGGAGTTGTTCAGGTATAGAATCAACTTTATGGTTATGAATAATGTCATAAGACTTTTAGCAAAGTACTTTATATTTTGTAATATTTAGATACATATAGAGTAAATTACACGTGTGGTACTTAAACCTATTCTTAAATTCCCATCCAGGCCCCCAAGCTCTGAAAACCGTAGATCTAGATCTCTAATATACCCCTATTTATGTAGCACACCTAGGCCCATTGCCTTCCACCTAGGCATCAAGGAGGGGAAGGGTGATGCTATGGCGCTAGCATGGTCGACCTCGACATATACGGTCCATAGGGACCAAGTCATCCAATCTCTCTCTCTCTCCCCCACATAGGTGGGCCAAAGAGTGGCAACATCAAGGTGGGGAAGGGAGAGGCCTCACCATGGCACATGTTGGGGGAGGTTGGAGTGGCGACTATGTAACTCACGGCTGGAAATCGACCATTGTGGTTCATTTGGCTTTGAATCAGTATCAAAAAGGGTGGGGTCAAAGGTGACGTATATCGGAGAAGGTGGGAGAGAGAAACAATGCATGTCATGTGGAGCCACATGTCGGGTTCGACATTAGTGTGCCATATCAACTTCAAGGCTATGACATTGTTCCTTTGGATGGGAATCAGTGTATTTAAATATATTATGGACCCATTAGATCTGCAATTCTGGAAATAGTTTAGGAACCACCAATATAGTTTATTGATAATTAACATGCAAAATTCCTAATGATGTGCTTCTTTGTTTGACAGGTTGTGCTGGAGCATCCAAATGGTAGTAAGGCGCAACATGACAGTAATGTGAACCCACTCAATTTTGATGGCATTGATGCACGTCTGCCAATGCTTGTCTACATGGCTCGTGGAAAGAGCCCATGTTATGACCACAATAAGAAGGCGGGTAACTTGAATGCCCAACTACGGGTCTCTGCTCTACTCTCTAATGCACCCTTTGTCATCAATTTCGACTGCGACCACTACATCAATGATTCTCGGGCTTTGCAAGCTGCTATGTGCTTCATGCTAGACTCAAGGGAAGGAGATAACACAGCCTTCGTTCAGTTCCCCCAACGTTTTGAAAACGTTGACCCAACAGACAGATATGGCAACCACAATAGGGTTTTCTTTGATGGAGCTATGTATGCCCTAAATGGTATCCAAGGACCTTCTTATCTCGGCACCGGTTGCATGTTTCACCGCCTTGCGCTCTATGGTATTGACCCACCACGCTGGAGACCTAATGACATTCCGGTTGATAGTAGCAAGTTTGGTAACTCCATACCCTTCTTGAACACAGTGTTAGAATCCTTAAAACAAGAAAGCCGCATCTCACCGCTAAACTTAGATGACTCATTTATTGCTAAGATGATGTTGGTCGTATCATCTTCCTTTGATATAGGGACAGACTGGGGGAGGGGTGTTGGGTACATATTTGAGATGGCAACTGAGGACATGGTGACTGGCTTTCACATCCACAAGCAAGGGTGGCACTCCATGTATTGCACCATGGATGTGGATACGTTCCGTGGCACTGCACCAATCAACCTAACTGAGCGTCTCTACCAAATTGTTCGATGGGCTGGTGGTTCTGTAGAGATGTTCTTCTCCCATAACAACCCATTATTAGCTGGATGGCGGCTCCACCCAATGCAACGGACTGTATACCTCAATTACAATATCTACCCTGTCACATCACTTTTTCTCCTACTCTATGCATTATGCCCAATGATGTGGCTTCTCCCCGAGGAAATACTCATCCAGAGGCCATTTACTACATATGTTGTATTCCTCATCATTATCATTGCATTAATTCATACCATAGGCATCATGGAGATAAAGTGGGTGGGTACCAAATGGCTAGATTGGTGGCGCAATGAACAGTTCTTCATGATTGCCTCATTGAGCGCATACCCAACGACGTTGTTGCACATTGTTGTGAAGCTCCTCACAAGGGGTAAGGGAATCCGCTTTAGGGTCACCTCGAAGCAAACAAAGGTAGATGACAATGAAGACAAGTATGCTGAGATGTACGAGATGCGCTGGGTGCCTATGTTGATCCCAGCTATGGTGGTTCTGTTCTCTAACACCATGGCTATTGGCGTGGCCATAGGAAAAGCAATCGTGTATGGTAGGGTATGGCCGACGACACAACGTTTGCATGCGATGCTAGGCCTGTTGTTTAATGTGTGGCTCATGATTCTCCTCCAACCATTTGCTTTGGCGGTCATAGGACGTTGGAGCAAGAAGCCTAGCATCCTTTTCATCTTGTTTCCAGTGGCATTTGTGGTCTTTGCATGGGTGTACATTTGTGTTCATGTTTTTGTTGTCAATTTCTTTTCATCCATGGAGATATAGCAAAATCATTGTACCTTTAGCTGATATAATTATTATGTATAATTGTTGATGGGACAATTTAAATAAAACAATTTGTAAAAGGGTGATTAATATCTGTGGTAAGTTAAATTCAGAGTCTGGAATATTTCTATAGCTTGGTATAGTCACAAATGTCTGAAGTTCGCGGAAAACAAGGTTGTCTCAACGTCAGTCCTACACATGAAACCATGAAACCAAGAGAGAAAAATAGGTGTTCACAATCGCACTCCTGCCAAATCAATTGATAGTTCATTTTGGTAGGATGTCACACACACACACACACACACACACACACACACACACACACACACACACATATATATATATATATATATGTGTGTGTGTGTGTGTGTGTGTGGATGTTCACACATACACACATACGAAGAGAGAAGAGAGGGTAATTGTATCGTCAGGGATATTCTCATAGTGCCTTGAAGGGCTTGTTTGGATGCCCATGTACCCAACTCATTCCATTGGGTACATGGGCATCCAAACAAGCTCTTACTTAAAGATTAGAAAACTTTTCCTACTAAATACCTTAGGACAAACATTCCCTAAGGTTTTCAAACATTTCCTAGGATATTAATACCTAGAGAAACATGTATGTCCCTACGGTTTTCAAGCATTTCCCTAGGATTTGAATCTCTAGAGAAATACATGGATTCCAATAGCATAAGAGAGAGAGAACCTAGAGGGGATTCTTATGGGAAGACCTCACATGCATTGTATGAGTTCGAAAAAAATTGGTCTGAGTTAGGTCGTACTTTAAGTATCTCTTAAGAACCAACATGATAATTACTCTTTCCATTTCAAATTGTAAGTCATTTTTACTTTGGTCCTAAGTCAAGCTTGACTAACCTTAACCAAGTTTATAAAAACATATATCAACATCGACGTATTTTTGTGATGATTACATTGTGTATCCATAAAAAACTATTGAAGAGACATATTCATCTCTCGACACTAACAATGGAAGGAAGCGATCAGGAGCATTCTTCGCCTACACGGCTGTTTAGCCCGTTTACACACCATGTAAACAATACACAGTGACTTGTCGTGCCTATTTAATCAGTCGTTTATCCCCATTTAATCACTGTTTAGTCTATCAGTCTATCTATCTATCTATCTATCTATCTATCTATCTATCTATCTATATACCCTACTAATAATGCACCATCATTTTTATTACTAAACCCACCTTACAAAACATCCCCACTAAAGTATCTCCAATCCATCCACCCAACAAAATGTACCTAGAAAAACAACGGCGTAGAAATGAACTGTTCTCAAATCTAATTGACAGCATCGTGTGTATCCTTCTCCTTCTCCCTCCCATCTCCCACGTCCGAGCCCAGCCCCCACGCCCATGCCCCGCAGCCATGGTTTTGATCGTTAAGTTCTCTTTTTCTCGTTTATTCTTCGCTCGAGCGACCGCGGAACCTCGCTGACTCCTCCTCTCCCCCACTCCCAGCACGAGGGAGCCGCGCGGGGCTGGCCGCCACCCGCGTGAGGGAGGCCGAGCGCCGTGGCCAGCCAGAGCGGCGGCGGCTAGGCGGGTAGCCGGGGCGGCCAGCTGGTGCCCACGCCCGGGCTCCTCCCGCGCTCGCCCGTTGGCCCGCGGTCGACTGGGGCGGCGGCCAGCCGGCCAGCCATGGCGGCAAGGAGGTCGGGTTGGCCCGGACCTTCGCCTCAGCCGCGACGTCCCGCCTGCCGCTGACTCCCTCGACACCTCCCTCGAGTGTGTCGCACCTGTGAAGCCCGGATCCATCGAGAGCACGCCATCGGAGGCCGTGTCGGCTACAACGACGGCCGAGGAACTTGACCGGAAGTTGGCAAGTCAGGCGCTCGTTTCTCGATTTGTCTTGTGCCTGCTTGCATTGCCTTTCTGTGATTTCAGTATCTAATATTCCTGCATGCCCGTGTTCTTACACTATATACCTGTACGCCCGTGTCCTGGTGCTTCAGATAACTCAATCGGCAAGGAGGTGTTCCCGCAAGACATGGCTGCGCACTCGATGGATAGGCTCGGGGGATCTGATTCTCGGTTGGACTTTTGTGCGAACCTGAAGCCATCGATTCTGAGGAGTCAATGGTGGTGAACACCGGAGGAGACACCGATGTGAGGATGCCTGTAACAATGTCACGGAAGAGATCAAGACTGTCCCTCATGAGTCATGAGGACCTAACAAACAAGCCGGTGAGTTTGATATTGGAGCATCCATGATCATATTTTCAGATTGGTCCATTCTTCTTAAACAATGGAGAATATGTTCTTATGTGTTTTAGTTGCTTGCCCGTTGCACAAGGTCGAGGTTTGTTCATCATCCAAGCTCGTTAAGCTACAAGAGGATGCTGCATTTTCTCATGGACAATGGTAAAATACCTGCTCGGGGTTCAATTGACAGTGATTAAGTGGTACCTCATTTAGATTTTGTTTGCCTCACTGTATGCTGTTGTCTTGCTGCTTCAGAAATCTCTGCTCAGGAAAGTGACAGGGTCGAAATTCAAAAATTGCAGAGGCAAGGCAACCTACATCAAATGAGAATGATGCCTCAGCCAGTGGGCAGCAGTGTCTTGCTGTCTCTGATGACTCTTCTCATGTGTTTGCACTATGAATATTTTTTGTTTAGGTTGTGGTTGCAAGGCCATGGTGCTATTAGTGAAGGAGCAGGATTGCTGGTTTTAGGTTGATCAGGTCAGTTGTTTGTAGTCTATGTCATTGTAAATGGTTTCCCTTTTACCAATGCAAATGCCAAATTATTAGTAAATTCAATAAAAGATGGTAGTCTGATAGATAATAGGTAGCATAACAGAAATTTTTTATTGGTTCCCCTGTCGAGGACCCTCAACTAGACGCCGAGAGGTATGTGTTTGTTCATGCATCTTGATTGGTTAATAATCTACTAATTGAAGATGGCTGGGTGAGGAATCTGACAGCTCCGTGCCAGCGTGCAGTAAATTGTATTGGTAAGAAGGAAGAAGGAAGAAGAAATGTTTCTAGCTGTAAAGGAAAGACAGGCAATTTGGATAGACGTAGTTAGGTATATAATGAGAAATTTTCAACTTGGAAGCATCCTTATGAAAAATTCTGTGATAAGTACTGTAATTTCATATAGATCTACTGTGTTTCTCGATTTTCTACACAGCATTTGTTAAATGTTAACTGAATATGTGCTGCCTCATGAGGTACTGTAATTTTCATATAGAGCTTTTTTGTTAGTGGTGGCAGGTTTGGTTCTTTTTTAGTTTTATGATTTATTTTAGTTGTGCTTTTTTTTCTAGACACCACTATGGCGTTAGCACGGGGAATATACTAACTGTTTAAATGGCTGTTAGCCCAAATAAATAGCTAAACAACAGGTGACCACTTTAGTCCATTTAAACGTTTAGGTTAACACTGGTCAGGAGTAAAATTAATTCTATTATGTGTAGTAAAACTTTGGAGGTCATATTGATCATCCTTACTTGCGCAAACCCAACAACCATTGTCCTCCCATATCGACCTCCATGTGAAAGACGAACTCGCCCTAAATTGGTGCTATTGAAGATGACCAGGCACCGAAGAACTAGGATGACACCAAAACACGTAACATATGTCATTACAACTTTACAAGGCATAATAAAGCGGTAGATGAACAGAGCAGAACATACCAGAACAGACGTGCAGGGGCGCACGTGTAAGGGCAGGCCAAACATCCGCAAATGGAGTTCTTATTTCATTTTTGTTTGTTTGTTTCCCATAAAGGCTAAAAAAACAAATCATAAAAGCAATAACTAAATATCTTTGAACTCTTGATCCATTTCTATAAAAAGATGAAGATTTTCATCACTAAACTGTTGATCCAATTTTGATTAAGAACAAAACTTTTCTTATTAGAACATGGTTCAATAGATGTTCCGATTAATTAAATTGTAAACTAAAATATTGATCAATTTATTGTCCAGTCTAACCTAAATAATTACACCTCTATATGGCAATGGATTCCACGATGGGTGTTGAGTGTTGAGTTGTTGACACGTGAATAATAGAGACATATGTATCCCGCCATAACTCTTGTTAGTTTTAAAAAAATTAAAATTATAGAACTCAAATATTATCAATACTAAATTTTTATATTACATGTTATGGATGTCATGATCATTGTAAAATAAATTGTAGTTTTAAAATTTTATAGAAGGATAAAATAGAAATAGCTATATAGCATTCTTATTCTCATTTTCCATGAATATTCAATAGCTTATTTTCTTAGCATTCCTATTCTCGTTTTCTATGAATATTCCATAGCTTATTTTTCTCTCGTTGCAAGGCACTAACATATTTGCTATCAAACAATAATCAGCTAAACCCACCAGCTCGCCGGAGATATGGCGCCTATGCCTGGCCATCCTCCCAGCCACTCAGCCAGAGCGCCGCCACAGAACCTGGAGCAACTACCGCCAGGACCGCGACGTACGCGGACGCGATGATAATGAGCACGGCCACGAGCAGGACGAAGAGCAGGTAGGGCCTCGTGCTCCAATGCCCCATGATCCCGAGCGCGAAAGGGTACAGCAGCAGCAGGACCCACACGTTGAACAGCAGCCCGCTCGCCGCGCCGGCGACCTGCGCGAACGACCACCCGAAGGCGGCCGCCCGGCCAATGGCCGCGCCGATGGCGGAGACGTTCACGGCGAGCACCAGCACGGTCGGCACCAGCAGCGGCGCCCACTGCACTTGGTAGAGCTCCGCAAACCTCTCCCTCGCGGCGGCGCCGCCGCCGCTAGCACAACTGGATTCAGGTTCTTTGCCGAGTGCCTGAGGCACTCGGCAAAGGCCTAATTGCACTCGGCAAAGCCTTTGCCGAAAAGCGGCACTCGCAAAGAACACACGGCAAAAATTAATCGGCAAAGACCTCTTTGCCGAGTGTCTTTATCGGGCACTCGGCAAAGGCTTTGCCGAGATTCCCGTGGCACTCGGCAAAGAAAAGCAACCCGCGGTGGCGCCGAATCCGTCGACGGTGGCTTTGCCGAAAGTGCCAACCCGCGAGCACTCGGCAAAGATTTTTTATTTTAAAAAAAATTCTTTGCCGAGTGCCCACCGCCGGCGCGCCGCAAAGTTTGATTTTTTTAAAATTCTTTGCCGAGTGCCCTCTAGCCGCTTTTCGGCAAAGTTTCAATTTTTTAAAAAAATTCTTTGCCGAGTGCCCTCCGCCGACACTCGGCAAAGTTTGATTTTTTTAAAAATTCTTTGCCGAGTGCCTTCGCCGCACTCGGCAAAGTTTGAATTTTTTTAAAAAAATTCTTTGCCGAAAGTGCCCTTTGGCCGCACTCGGCAAAGTTTCAATTTTTAAAAAAAATTTCTTTGCCGAGTGCCCTCCGCCGCACTCGGCAAAGTTTGAATTTTTTTTAAAAAAATCTGAAGCTCCCATGTTGCTCGCTTTACTCCTTGCTTTAACCTGCAAATGAACCAAACAGCACAAAAGAAAAATAAGTAGCCAATAATGAACTAAAAGAAAATAAGTACCAAGTAATGAGCTTAAATAGATCTAACAATACCTAGGCTAACAAAAGCTCTAATTAGCATTTGAAAATCCACTAAGCTCCAAAACTATAAACTGCTAGCTCTTGAAACCAAACTGCAAGTACATGCAAAGCCATTTCAACTATTTCGTTCTGCCTTCACTGAAAAGCATGTACTGAAACTGAGGTAATTTTGCAATTACAGAGACAAGCTAACTACCGACACAACCTGAGAAGTGAGAAGCACAAGAACTGATGGACCAACACAACCTGAGAAGCACAAGAACTGATGGACTTGCACCTGTCCTCACCGAGTTCCAAAACCCAAATCCAAGCAAATGAAATAAAATAAGTTTCTGAACAGGCCATTTGACATTGCTAACAACCTTGCAAGTGAATCATACATATTCGAATCAGATTGTTATATGGCAATAAAATAAGTTTAAATTTACCAAATGCAAGCAGTCAGTTCTTACTACTGACTTTATAGTTTACAGTCCTATCAATAACGTCTACTTTCAATGCAATTCAAAGGCAAGGATAATGCTTGTTTAGGTCACAGTTTGAGGAGATATCAGTCAAGATTTGTTGTCTTTGCAAACCTTGAAGGATTTTATAAAATGTACTCAGATCATGAAATCTATTCTTTATAGTATTCAAGATGTAGCTAGCGACATTTCCTCATTTACAAATTGTGATGAAATTGATTATTTGGTACTCAACCAAAGTCTACACCCATTGAAAATATTATTTAAGATAATTGTCATGATCATACCAAAATACAGAAAAAAATTCAAATCTGAATCCATAGAAAGACAAGGCAAGTTGTTGACCCAATATCATTTGAGAAATAACATTTAGTCTGATAATTGCTGGAACTAGTAATACCTGGACAAGAGAACTTACAAATTATAGCATAGCTATTGCTGATTGTTGTTGCTGAAAAGAAAAGAAAAGAGCAAAGCACTAAGCTTCTAAATCAAATAGAACAGAAATAAAAAATAAAAAGCATTCCCTACATGCAGAGTTATTTATGCAGAGTTATTTAGACAGGTATGCTAAATAAGAGAATGAGCAGCAGGCCATATTGCACATATGGTTAGGAAGTGCTTTTTTACTAGCATAAGAGACGTATGCACCATTGGAACAAACATGACATTTCAATTTTGGTACAAACAATAATACTGCTTTAGTAAAGTTTTTAAATTGCGTAAAGTTTCAATAAGCAGTAAGACTTAAATACATGTTTCGCTTATGATAACATGCTGATCTTGTGAGTATCCTGGGTGTTCCAGGTGAAGGCGATGAGTTTCGATGACTCCGGCAGGACAAGCTAGCATTCCGGTGAAGATCTGTTGCTGTGTGATGAATGACTTGATGAACTCACGAGGCAAGCATCGCACCAAGACACGAGGCGTTGATAAATAGCAAATCTATGAGTGTGGTAGGAGTCTTGCCTGCCTTGACTCGTTTCCATTGTTGCTAACGGAAATGTTAAAGTTAAACAACTAGTACATTGAAGCGTGTAAGAACACTGTACCACAGCCAATCTATAGCGTCGAACAATGGTCGCTAAAACATAATATTAACGACCAACAATTGGTCGGTATACCACAACCAACATTGTAGAAATAGACAAACGATTTACCATGGTCAGGTAACAATGCTATCTTTGTGGTGTTTACTACAAATGTAAGCTATTCCCCAAACAAACATTGGATCTGCACACATTAAGAATAATACCTGATATATGGTCATTGCTGCCAGCTCTATCACAAAGCATACTGAAGCCCACTGCATCACCAAATCTATAAATAACCCAGAAAAAATATGGATGAAATGCTAGCGGATTTACCTGAACCATGTATCCAGTCATTTTTAATATTTAGTTTGCAACTCTGAACACCTACAGAAACATCAGTACATGAACAAAAGCTGTAATTAAGATAAGAACTTATTACGACATTGCTGTAGTGAACAGGTACAATATTTAATCCATTAGCAATCTCACCATAATAAATCTACTCTGTACATTTGCTTTCCGATAATCTGAAAGAGGCTTCTCAAACCTTATTATTATTCTCTGGATTTTAATATATGCGATGGCATCTTGATGCAGAAAAATACAAGCCATAGCTCTAGTCTTTTAAGCACAATTCTTTAAAATTATTGTGGCGGCAATAGTAGGAGAATCACCTGGATTTTAGGAGGACAAATGATTAAGGAGAATCACCAAACGAAGATCCATAGAAATACAAAGTGCTAATTAGTTACAAACCGGTAATGATAGCGGGGAGAGTACAGAAACACAGCAACAATTTCTTCGAGATGAACATTGCGAGCTCTTCCTTTTTTGTAATGTTTCGGATGAAGTAAGGGGTTGCGGATACATTGTGGTGATAGATAGAACATGAACATATATCTTGTTCAATTTGTGTAGATTGCTGAATATATATTCTAGCATGCTTATGCTCACTTAACTCTTTACCAATATGTGCTTCTAATTTGGTTCATGGTGGCACCACAATAGTAGATTAATAACAGTACATAAGAAAACAGTTCTGAACTTTGTACTTGATACGCTTTGATATCTATAATTGGAACTGATTTGTTAATTTACCCTACAAGTGATTTGGATAGCTACATGTATTAACCAGATACTTTCTTGCCTTTTTTAGATCTATATATGATGAACATCATCAAAACATATATCTTGGCTGATTAAGCGGGGTTAATCCCTAAATAAAATTCTAAAACATGCTTTTGGCCTGAATAATAAAACAAATGATGAGCTTGTATGCATCCCAACGACTTATAGTGGTTCGACATCATTAGCTGTTTGTGAATTGCGATTAGATGCGCTTCGTTAGTGCATAGCAAGAGAAACAGATCAGATCGGATCGAGGCACGCAAGCAAGATAGGCTAGTAGCATGATTAGATCGAAAAAATAGAGGAGGTAATCGACATGTACGTTTCGGGTTTAGGCGCGCGCAGAGGTCATCGTCGTTCAGCTGACGAGGTCGTCGCAGAGACTCCATGGCGCGCTTCGAGGTCCCGGCCAGAAGCCGGCACTCCTTGTTGCTCTTGTCGGAGAGGTCGGGCGCATGCGGCGGCCACGGCCTCCTTTTTCTCGACGCTCTCGACGCCAAGTGGCGGAGGCCGGCGTTCATAACGGCTTCGGCTCGGGCAAGGAGAGGAAATGAATGACGAATCAATAGCGAACGGGAGGAGAGCAGAGAGAGTCCTTGTGACTCGTGTACCTTGAGGAGGTCGATGTGGCGATGGGCTGCGCGGAGGTCTCGAGCGGCCTCCGGCGCGAGATGCGATCCGATCGGGGCGTTGCCCGGTGGTGGCCGGGCGGCACTGCAACAGACGGGACGGAGGGCGGCTGGCTGCTCGGGCGGGGCGGGCGGGCGTGGGCATGGCGGAGGGAGGGCGCAGGGCGTGGGGGGCGGGGGCGGCGTGGGTGCGGATGGCTGGTCGGGTTGTTCGAGGCTTGACTGCCCGGCCGGCGAAATCGGCTAAGTGCCCCACTCGCGCTTTTTTGCCGAAGCGCCGGATCGGGGAGGCACTCGCCAAAGGAGGCAACTTTGCCGAAAGTGCTCCGATCCGCCGTCGGTAAATTTTTTTATTTTTTAATTCCTTTGCCGAAAGTGCCTCTGTGAAGGCACTCTAAAAAAAAAAATTTCTATAAAAAATAAAAATCCTCTTTGCCGAGTGTCTTATTTTTACACTCGGCAAAGAGCCTCTTTGCCGAGTGCCATTTTTCGGCACTCGGCAAAGTATTTTTATTTTTTTTTGTTTTTGGCCTCTAAGTTTTTTGTGCAGCCCTTTTAAAGGACCAGGAACTCCTCCTTAGAATTTGGGGACTTTTTGTGGCTTTTTGATATATTTAGTTACTTTATTTCGTTTACTTGAATTTTTTTGAAAAATATAAATTTGAACTGCACCTGGTACGAATAATAGAATTTAATGATTCAAAAAATGATAGTCATGTTACTGAGTGTAGTGTGAGGCCGTATCTAGGATCGGATTCGAAATTTCGGACATCTTGTTCACGAAATATGACCGCGAACTTGCGTGCGAAGTGTTTTTAAATTCTATAAAAAACAAACGAAGTCCGAAAATCATGAAACTCGTTGAGATGTCGTGATATCGTATGTGGAGGCTATGATAAAAATTTCAGAAGATTTCGTGCACGTTGTCACGTATGATGCTTACAAACTAGGACATCTCCATATGTGATATCAGATCTTACATGTAGAGATGTCCTGGTTTGTAAGCATCGTACGTGACAACGTACACGAAATCTTCTGAAATTTTTATCATAGCCTCCACATATGATATCACGACATCTCAACAAGTTTCATGATTTTCGGACTTCGTTTGCTTTTTATAGGATTTAAAAACACTTCACGCGCAATTTCGTGGACATGTTTCGTGAACAAGATGTCCGAAATTTCGGATCTGTTCCTGGATACGGCCTCTCACAACACTCACTAACATGACTATCAATTTTTGAATCATTAAATTCTATTATTCGTACTACGTGCAGTTCAAATTTCTATTTTTTGAAAAAATTCAAGTAAACAAAATAAAGTAACTAAATATATCAAAAAACCACAAAAAATCCTCAAATTGTAACTAGGAGTTCCTGGTGCTTTAAAAGGGCTGCACAAAAAAATTGGAGGCCAAAAACAAAAAAACAAAAAAAACTTTGCCGAAAGTGTCTTGGGGGCATGACACTTAAGCAAAGGGTATCTTTTGCCGAGTGCAGGGCATAAGGCACTCGGCAAAGAGGGTTTTAATTTTTTTAAAAATTCCTCTTTGCCAAGTGCATCCACAGTGCACTCGGCAAAGAAATTATAAAAAAATTAAATATTTGCCGAAAAGTGCGTTGTGCAGGCACTCGGCAAAGTATTTTTTTTAAAAATTCTTTGCCGAGTGCCAGATCTGGGGCACTTTCGCAAAGAATTTTTAAAAAAATCAAATCTTTGCCGAGTGTCTATCGGCGGGCACTTTCGGCAAAGAAGGCCGTGGACCGAACACCGTTTCGCGGGCAGCCTATGCCGAAAGTGTACTGATTTTGCCGAGAGTCGACACTCGGCAAAGAAGTCCTTGCGAAAGTGCCCTTCTTTGCCGAAGTGCGGCACTCGGCAAAGAACTCTTTGCCGAAAGTGCAATTCTTTTTTGCCGAGTGCAGCACACTCGGCAAAGAAGGTCTTTGCCGAGTGCCCGATTTTTGACACTCGGCAAAGAATTTTGCACTCGGCAAAGTCTCTCTTTTCGATGAGTGTAGCGGACACCGGCTTCGACGTCACTTGAACGGAAGGCCCTTGAGGCCGACGAGCCTGAAGCGAAGTTGTGGCAAAGACACCGCCGCGGGTACACGCCCGTCGCGCCGATCATGTAGAATCGCTCATTGCGGCACCAGTCAAAGAGCGAGCCCCGCTCACTTGATCTCCACCATGCCGCACACCTCCATCATGGCGGCGATGCCGACGAACGGTACAACGCGTAGGTCCGGAACGGCTTCAGTATGTAGAACTCGCCGTCGCCGCGGACAGCCACATCAGCGGGAGAAGGTCGAGAGCGAAGATGAAGGCCGCCGAGATCGGGTAGGTTGTCATGTTGGTGTAGGCGCGCGTTACGCATCGGGTGGAGCCGCCCGGCCGGCTAGGAGCGGGAGTTGCGGGAGAAGAACATGTCCGGAGCCCCCGACCGGCGCAGGATCTGGTGGAGGCGCCCGTGAGGTTGATGGGCGCCCGTGCCGCGAACGCGTCGAGCTCTATGGCGCGAAGACATGGACCGCCACCCTTGCGGTGCACCGGAAGCCGGTCACCACGTCCTCCGTCGCGATGTTGTACACCCACCGACGCTGTTGCCCCACTCCGTCTCGTCCTCGTGACACGCGGTCGTGGACGTCGCCAACTCCGCCACGAGCCGCTCGTTCGCCGAGCGAGCTGGCTGGCGGCGTGACCGGGCCGGTCTTGTGCGCGCCGGTGTCACAGAGTTGATGAACGACATGGAGTTGCCGAGCTGTGCGTGGGGGGTTGTCCAGAGCTTGAGGCGCCGTCGGGCAGCCACCGGGTGGTCGGCGCCAGAGAGCGCGACGCGCCGGAACATGCAGCCGGTGCCGACGTAGGATGGCCCCTGGATGCCGTTGAGGCCGAGGGAGGTGGCGTCGAAGAAGACGCGGTTGTGGTTGCAGTACCGATCCGTGGGGTTGACGTCGTCGAAGCGCTGTGGGAACTGGACGAAGGCGGTGTCGTCGAAAAATCCACACACCAAAAATCACAACTACAAAATTTTTGTTTATGTGATGATGAGTGACACATGTAGAAGCCAAACCCTAGTTTTGGATTAGATGTGACCCAACTAGGATAAAATCATAAGCATAATTTGGTTTTATGCCACATATGTAATCAAGTAAATCATGCATGCATCCTTAATTCCATTTCTGATTTGAATTCTTTTGCCTTATGTGATGTTTAACTAACTTACTTAATATTTATAATAAACCCTAAATAATGCATTATATGTTGAAAGAATAAAACACCCCTATATAAAAACTTCAACTATTTTTATATAACAAAAATAGCCAATAATCCATAATATATGGGATGTATTTTGACCACCATTTAAAACACCTCGTGGGACCCACTACATGACTCGAAGCTCAAGTTTAAACTCTAACTAAATTTGAATCAAAGCAAAAGAAAGAAAAGAGAAACAAACAGAAAAAGAAAAGGAGGGAGCCGCAGCAGCCCAGGCCTGCTCGGCCTTGCGAGCCAGCCCGGCCGAGCCTGCCTGCCCTCCCACTCGCACACGCGGCCCACAAAGCCGGCCTAGCAACACCCTAACGCCCGCGCGTGCACAAGCCGCTAACGAGCCGGACCCGCCCA